ACGGCCATCATCAGAGTGCTAAAGCCGTTGGACAAATGTCTTCACTGATAAATTATATTTACCAGCAATTCTTGAATAATCAGTACATGGTACAGTTATGGCTTGAGATATTTAGAACTGACGGTATGGTTCTTAGTGCAACCACCAACAGTGCACTTTAGCTGTTGCATTAATCTGTTCAACGATAATATATACTGTGTAGATATTTATGAATGGGAAAAGGCAGATCCGCTACTTCTCGAGACATTGACACATGATAACTCAGTGCTATATACAACCATCGCCGCAGTACTGTAGCCGTTGGATTAACTTGTTCACTGACGATTAGCATTCCACAGCGGTTCTAGAGTATTCAATAGCTACATAAATTACAGAGAAGGATATTACATTTCCCAGTACGGTATTTGGCGCATCCAGCATTACATCATCGTAGCCGTTGAATTAATTTCTTCAGGGATGACTTAAATTCTACGGTGTTTGTAGAACAATCAATGTATGCATCAGTTATGCCTGGGGATATTTACAACTCCCGGTACGGTAACTAGGTCATCCACCAACAGAGGATTGTAGCTATTGGATTAAGCTGTTCAGAGATGTTCTAAATCCTATTGCAACTCTAGAATGACAAAGGACTTACCCATCCTCGCTCGAGATATTAACAATTGATGAAACCGTACTGTGTGCAGCGGTCACCAAGTTAGTACATTTATCTGTTCACTGATGGTTTATATTCCATAGCAGTTCTAGAATAATCATTGAATGCAGCAGTTATGGACAGAGACATTTACGATGCCCTGTACGGTGGTTGGAGCGCCCACCATGAGAGCTCCCTAGCCGTTTGATTAATCAGTTCAGAGATGGTCTAGAGTCAACAGCAAGTCCGGGATAATCAGTGTATATTTCGGTTCTGGTTAGAGTTATTTGTGATTGACAGCTCCTTTCCCAGTAGATACATCAACAGGGAACTGTAGCCGTTGGATTGATCCTTTCAATCATAATTTATATTATATGGCAGTTCTAGAATGACAAAGGACAGGTCCATTGCCCCTCGAGATTTTAACAGCTGGCAACACAGTAACAACGACAACCACCATCACACTACTGTACCCGTTGTAATCATCTGTTCAGTGATAGTTTAATCACCACTGCAGTTCTGGAATAGTCTATGCATGCATCAGTTATGGCTGCTAACATTTACAGTTCCCTGTACGGTAATAGGTACATCCACATATCGCGGAAGTTAGACATCCGATTAATCTGTTCAGTAATGGCTTAGGCTCTAATGCAATCTAGAATTACAAAGGATTGACGCGTTATCGCTCGAGACATCTGCAATTGGCGAAACAGGGCTTAGCACAGACATCATCACAGCACCTTAACCGTCGGAAAAATTTGTTCACTGGTATCTTAAATTTAACAGCAATTCTTGAATAATCAGTCTATAGTACGTTTATGTCTACAGGTAGTTATACATGACAGTATGGTACATAGGACACACATCAACAGTGCACTGTAGCCATTGGAATATCATGTTCAATGACGATATATATTCTATAGCATTTCTAGAATAACAAAGGGCAGATCCGTATCAGCTCCACATGTTAATAGCTGACACAAGTGTTTTATTCTCAGCCATCGCCAGAGTCCTGTAGCTGTTGGATTAATTTCTTCTATTATGATTGATATTCCACAGTGTTTCTAGAATAACCAATGTATGCATCAGTTATAGACAAAGGCATTTACAATTCCCATTACGGTAGTTGCTGTATCCACCAGTATGTCATAGTAGGCGTTGAATTAATCTGTGCACTAAAGATAAAAATTCCACAGTATTCTTAGAATAATCAATGTGTACATCAGTTATCTGTAGCGACATTTAGAATTTCCAGCACGGCAGTTGTTACGTCCACCAAGCGAGTACTACAGATGTTGTATTGATCTGTTCAGTGATGATTCAAATTATACTGTAGTGCTAGAGTTACCAATGTATACATCTGTTATGACTAGAGATATTAACAATCCCCAGTAGAATAGTTGTTACATTTACCAATGCAGATCTGTAGCCATTGGAATAATCTGTTCAGTAATGATTAATGCCATCTAGCAGTTCAAAGATGATGAAGTACAGATACATTGTTGCTCCAAACATAAACAATTGACGAACGAGTGCTCAGCACTGCCATAATCACAATGCTTTAGCCGTTGGACCAATTTGTTTCCTGTTAACTTAAATTTAACTGCAATTCTAGAATAACCAATGTATATTGCGGTTATGGATAGAGATATATATAATTGTAAGTACAATTCCCAGTATATCAATAAATAGAGCAATGTAGACGTTGGATTAATCCGCTGAATGATGATATATTTTCTATAGCAATTATAGAATGACACAAGAGATATCCACTACTGCTCGAGGTATTAACAACTGTCAACGCATTGCTAAGTACAGGCATCATCAATGTACTGTAGCCGATGGATTGATTATTTCACTGAACACTTAAATTCCGTTGCAGTTCAAGAAAAATCTATGCATACAACTATCATGGCTAGCAATATTTTCAATTGGCAGTACGGTATTTAGTACCTCCACCAACAGAGCACTGTCGCCCATGGATGAACATGTTCAATGATGACGTAGACCCTATAGCAATCCTAGAATGACAAAGGACATGTTCGTTGGAGCTCGATATACTAACCGGAGGCGGAAAAGTACGCATTACGGCTATCATCACATTACTGTAGCCATTGGTATAATATATTGATGACATAAATTCTTGAGTAGAGCTAGAATAATAAATACATACATCAGTTATGGCTGGAGATATTTAGAATTCCCAGTTCGGCAGTTTATAGGTCCACCGATAGAGCACTGTAGCCGTCGGGCTACTTTGTCCAGCGATGATTTGAATTTCAAAGCAAGAGTAGAGTTATCAACTTAATGGCCGTTTATGGCTAGATATACTTCCAGTTGACAGTAGCGTACTTCGCACGTCCATGAAAAGGTGCAGTGTGGACATTGGAGCTCCCTGATCAATGATGGTTTAGATTCTATAATAATTCTGGAATGACAAAGGACAGGTCCGTTTTAGCCAGAGATATTAGCAACTGACAGAACTCTACAGAGAACACCGATCATCACATTGCTGTAGCCGCTGGATTAACTTGTCCATAAATGATATTACCACCAAAGCAAGTCTGGTGTAGTCAATATACAGTACGATTACGTCTAGAGATATTTACAATTGTGAGCATGATTCATAGTATGTCCACCAACATAGAACTGTAGCAGTCGGATTTATATGTTCAATGATGACTTTGATTGCATACATATTTTGGAATAATAGAAGACAGGGCCGTTATAGCTCGAGACATTAACATCTGACAACCCTGTACCATGTACAGCCATCACAACAGTACAGTAGCCGTTGGATTAATTTGTTCACTGATGACATAAAACCCGCAGCAGTTCTAGAATAATCAAAGTATAGTACGGTTATGGCTAGAGACTTTTACAGTTGAAAGTACGGTACTTAGTACATCCATGAAACAGAGCACAGTAGCCGTTGGGTTAGATACCTCAATGATGACTTAAATTCAATAGCAGACTTATAATGACGAAAGGCAGGCAATTTATAGCTCAAGATATTATCAATTGACATAATGGTACTGAGTACTGCCGTCAGCACAGTGCTGCATCTGTTGGATTAACCTGTTAACAGTTGATGTGAATGCCAAGGTAAATCTAGAGCAATCAATGTATAGTACGGTTATGGCTAGGGCTATTTACAAATCGCTGCACGGTAGTAGTTACATTCACGCATAGAGCACTGTAGCCATTGGATTAATCTGTTCTGTGATAATTTTTATTCTATTGCATTTCAAGAATGACAAACTACTGACTCATTATCTCTCTAGATATTAGCAAGTAACGAAAAAGTACTGAGTACATTGTTCATCACACTACTATAGCCGCTATACAAATTTGTTCACCTATGGCGTAAATTCCAACGCAAGTTTAAAGTAGGCAATGTTCTGGTAGTGGACATACAGATTTCTGAGTATATACATGTTCATCTGAGTGGAGCGGTTATGCCTGGCATTCTAATGACCAATGAATTCAAGTTATTGTTGTTGTGGTACTTGTCGTAGTGCGTTTGGTATAAGTGTGAAGAATGTTTGTGTGGAAGGATATACGTGTGTGACGAGTATGAATAAAAGTCGTGAAAAGCAGTTAGTGCTTAGAGGACAGTCAACAGTAAAGCACGCTGTGTGTAAGGGAATCCTTTGTAGATTATATCGTAGAAAGGAGCGAGCCTATTTTTACTAAACCTATTATAACCTGTGTTCTTTTATTGAACGTTTAAAAAGATACTGTTGTTACTTCACCCACCACTAACATTTTGTAGCTGAAAGTGGTTATAATTAAAAGCATACTAAGAGAACATTCTAGAAACCTTGAAGGTGGTTAACGCGTTAAGCATCGCAAATTTTTAACCGTCCGATGATTCAAGTTATCTTTTACGGGAAGAAAAAGTAGAAGGAACTGTAAGATCAAGACGATAATGTAAGAAATTTATTTGCAAAAAGCCATTGACAAAACCAGTCCAGGGAGAATAAAATTATCAAGGGAAATTAAAAATTGTGGCGAACGGAATGACAATAACCATGCACCTAGGGCAATTATTAGTAACATAACATAACGCAAGAAAAACGGAACACCATTGAGAAGAGGGCAGCAGGAGGTCCTTGTCGTGGTTATAGTGGAGGAAATATAAGAAAATATCGGGAAAGAAAAGTTTCATCGTCAAACACGCGTGAAGAAGCAGTAACGGGAATAAGTGAAATTTCAACGAGAGACAAATTATACGATGTGAGAGAGAAAAATGGAAATGAAATAAACGAATGAGAGGATGATGATTATCATATATGGCTGTTGGATTCAGGATCTGCAAACCATATGGCTAATAACGAATTAATTTGTGACAATTGTGTTGAAGAAGGGCCGAAAATCTAGCACGGCAGACAGCCAAGGGAAGATGCTAACCTTGAGTGGAATCGGAAATGTCACTGTCAAAGAAGCCTCCAGCAATAATAATTTGAAACTGAAGAATGTATTGAACATACCAGAATTGAATTCCAAGTTATTTTCACTAGCGAGGATAGCTGACCATGGCTACGATGTAAGCTTCAATAAATATGGAGAAATAGTATAGAACAAATTAGGTGGATTCCAAGTGACCGCGGTAAGAGAACAAAACGGTTATTGTGTGAGGACATCAATAAACCTTGAGAGGACTGCGGCAGTACCACCGGTAAGTGAGGTAAGGCGCAAACAATTGCAACATGCACATAAAGGTATCGTAGAAGGAATGAAAAGAGGAAATCAGGATTTCGGGACGGATAGTTCGTGGAAAAGGGTATGCGAACCATGTGCACAAGGAAAAGCATGTAAAAAGCCGCATCCGGGATATAATGCTACATGGACGAATCGTACTTTAGAGCTATGGCGTACAGATTTGGTAGGCCCAATCAAACCCTCGGGTTATGGAAAGAAAAATTCCTTATTAGCTGTCGTCGGTGATTATTCGAGAGTGATGTTTATGCAACTTCTGTGGGATAAGGGAGAAGCTGCAGAAGAATTAAAAGACATAATGGAATTGAAGGAAGATCAGACGGAACTGCGGTTGAAGGGGATTATGTCAGACAAGTTTCGGGAATATTTAGGAAAAGAATTATAGGGCAGCTTTGTTTCAAATGGAATTGTTCACCAATTGGGTCCTCCATGAGACCCGATTGTAACGGAATTGCAGAAAGAACGAAGAGGACGACCATCGAAACAACCGGAACGATAATGGTAGATTCATTTTAAGTCTTATTCTTTGAGTAGAAGCAGCGAATTCAGCGGTATACTTTCAAAATCGGATTAAATTGCGGGAAAATGGTAAAGCACCATATGATACTTGGTACAAAAAACAACCTAACGTAAAGCATATGCGACGATTTGCGTGTACAGCGTATTTAACAGGTAAAGGAGAAAGTAACAAGAAATTTGATGCGAAGACTTTAAACGGAATATTTGTGGAGTATAATAAAATTAATGCATACCGGGTGTACATACAAGAAACAGAGAATGTACAGTGGCGTATTATTCGCTAAAGACAGGAACGGATCGGACATGCTTCGATGCAAAGAGGGAAAAGAACAGAGTAATGAAAACCAAATTCCTGTTTACTTTGGTATAGAATTGGATGATATCGTTTACGAAGCTCCTCAAGATAACTTTTTAGACGAAGAACAAGTAAGAATTGGAAAGAAGGACGAGGATAGTGCCGGTGACGAAAAATGGGACAACAGGAATTGAAATTGACAACGATGAAAGAACGAGGGTAGAGAAAAATAATGAAAATCAGGAAATAACTATTCAACGAGTAGAATCGACAAACAGAAAAATGTCTGGAAGACTGAAGAATGTGCCGAAGGAAGCGATTAAAGCAGAAGAATATGCCAGGGAACCTGAAAAAGGATAAAAGGTTGGACAAAGTAACGTAAGAAGGTCTTCAAGTATCAAGAATCAAAAAGCAATGGGAAGTGTTGAAGAAAAAACTCCTACTGCGAAGACAAAGGCACGAAAATCTCCAGAATGGGATCAATGGAGTGAAGCAATAAGCAGTGAAATAGAGTCATTATAGAAACATCCAGTGTTGCATGTAGTGAATCGAACGAAAGATAAAACTGTGATTAAGTGTATGCGGATTTTTTAAATAAAAGAAAATTATGAAACTTTAGGAAAGTGATACAAGGCACGATTACTGGCCTTAGGTTGTGCTCAATGACCTGGATTAGATTACGAAGAGACATTCCCACCGACAATTAGAATGGAGACATTGCGATAGTTATTCAGCATATGTGCAAAGCATGAAAGAAAAATCAAGGGTTGTGACGTAAAAACAGCCCCTTTGCATGGAATTATGGGCGAAGAGTTGTACATGCAGATGACTGATAGTATTCAGAAGATAAAGGGACACATCTGTAAACTAAAGGGGAGTATTTATCGGCTGAAAGGAGCAAGTAGGTGCTGGAATAAATACTTAATTGACACTTTGTTACAGATTGGTTTTAGACATTGTGAACATGATCCATGTCTATTCTTTATAAGAGAAGAAAACAGTTTTCTACACTGTGGCATGCACGTGGACGATATGACCTTAGTCAGCAGTGAAGATCTCTTTGAAGAAAGATATATTATTATATTAAGGGAGCATATCGAATTCAAGAACATTGGTGCAAGTGAGTAACTATAGGGAATAGAATATAATTACAAAGAACAGAGGTGAATCATTATACTGCAAAATTATATGAAACGTTTATTGGATGCATGTGGAATGAGTGATTGTAATGCGCAAAGTACACTTACTAATGTAAATCAGAGATTGAGCAGAGATGATGGCAGCCCGATGAGCGATGGAAAAAGTTATCAAGAGCTGCTAGAAGGATTAATGTACCCAAGCGTATCAACGAGACCCAATACTTCCTTTACGCTAAGTGGTTTAACACAATATAGCAAAAATCCAAAAACATTGCACTTGAACGCATTGAAGGAGGAACGCCGGTATTTGAAAGGAACAGAAGATTTTCAAGTGGAATATAGTAACCCAAATCAAATGAAAGAATTGAATTGTAACACAGATGCTTCATGGTACAGCACTGCGGATGCCAAATCATTCAGCGGTATTTTATTTTGCCGAAATGGAGGTCTGGGCCATTGGAGAAGTAAAATGTAACCGAAAAGTGTACTCTCCTCCACTGAAAGTGAATTAGAGACGATGACGTTAGGATTGAAGGAAGCTTCGTGGATGAGTGATTTGTTGAAAGGAATTGGAATGCCGTGGGAGAGCAGAAAATAAAAATGGGACAATTTAAGTTCGGCTAGATTGGGAAACGGGGCTAACTTTAAAACAAAGACAAAATAATTAAATAGAAAATGCCATTAGACTAAAGAAATTGTATCCAATTATATAGTGAGAGTGACACATGTACCCAAAGAAAGAATGGATGCAGATTGCATGTCTAAAAGGTTAAGTGGACCAAATTTATTATAGAATATAAGAAACCTTATGTGTGTAAGAACCTGTGAAACCAAGGCGGAAGATTGCGGTAGTGGTTATATAGATTTCAGATTACTGATGTTTTGGGATGAGTGGAGCATGTGCGCGTGGGACACCAATGTGCAATTAATTCAGATTATCATTGTGGTGGTAACTGTCATAGTATAGTTGGTATAATTGTGAAGAATGTTTGAGTGGAAGTATATATGTTTGCGAAGAATATGATTAAGTGTCGTGAAAACACATACTGCTTGTACGACAGTCAAAAGGAAAAGACGTTGTGTGTAAGAGAGTCGCTTATAAGAAATAATTTAGAGCGGAGCGAGTTTATTTTTAATAATTCAGTTATAATTTGGGTTAATATTCAGTTATAATTTTCTGCTAAGAAAGGTTTAAATAAATAATGTTATTATTTCATCCACCACCAGCAAATGTGCTGTATGGTTATGGCTGGAGATATTTGCAACTGACAGTGCGGTTCCTCGTCCATTCATCAGTTCAATTTGATGATTGCCTGTTGATGATTGATCTGTTCAATGACGATATAGTTTCTATAGCAATTCAACAAGAACTGAAGGCCGATCCATTAACGTCGGAAATATTTACTCTTGGCATCACAGTACGTTGTGCAGCCATCATCATGGTACTGTAGCAGTTCGAATAATTCGTTGATTGATGAATAAATTCCCACAGCAATTCTAGAACTATCAATGCATATTGTTGGTACGTCTAGAGATATTTACAATTGACAGTGCAGCACCTAGTACATCTACCAACGGTGCTCTGTTGTCGTTCTATTAACCCGTTCGCTGACGACATATATTCTGCATAAATTCCAGAGTGAAAGTAGACAGATACATTATCCCTCGAGATACGAACTATTGACAGCTCAGTACTGTGTACAGCAATCGTTTCCGTACTGTAGCAGTTGGATTACTTTTTCCACTGGTGATGTAAGTTAAAAAGCAATTCTTGAATAATCAACGCATAGTACAGTAATGGTTAGAGATATTTACGAATAACACTACGGTACCTGGAGCAACCACCTGCAGAGCACTCTAGCGCTTGGCATAATCTGCTCACTCAAGATTAAGATGTTACTGCAATTAAGGAATGGCAAACGACAGATCCGCTATCTCTCGAGACATTAACAACAGTCTACAGAATACTGAGGGCAGCCATCATAACGTTACTCTTGCCGATGGAATACTTTGACCACTGATCACGTAAATTAGAAAGCAATTCTTGCATAATCAATGTATAGAACAGTTGTGGCTAGAAATATTTTGCAATTCACATAAAGGTACTTAGCACCTGCACCAGCGGACCACTGCAGCTGTTGGACTAACATGTTCAATGATGACTTAGGTTATGTAGCAATTCTCGAATCACAAATTACACATATACTATAACGCAAGGCTCTAACAATTGTCATACCAGGACTGAGTACAGCCTTCATCAGAACAACGTAAGCGTTGAAATAATTTGTTCACCTATGACGTAAGTCCGACAGCAATTCTAGAATAGTCGATGTATAGGACGGATAGGGCTGGAGGTAATTACAATTGTGAGTACGGTAATCGGTGCATGCACCAACAGAGCACAGTAGTCGTTGGATTAACCATCTCAGCGATGATTTCAATTGCAAGGTAAGTCTAGAATAAGCATTGCATGCATCGGTTGTATATAGCGATATTTGCAACTCCCGGTACGATAGTTGGTACATCTACAAGGAAACCACTACAGCCGTTGGATTATGCTGTTCAGTGATGATTTAAATCCCATTGCAACTCCAGAATGTTAAAGGACTGACCCATTCTCACACGAGAGCTTATCATTTGACGAAACAGTACTGAGTACAGTCATGCTAACAATGCTTCGAACGTTGGAATAATTCCTTCACTGATGAACCAATTTTTATCGACAGTTCTAGAGCAATCAATATATATGGCGGTTGTGGCTACAAATATTTACATTTGATAGTACGGTACTAGGTACATCCATCAGCAGAGCACTATAGCTGCTGATAAATCCTGTTCAATGATGTTGTATGTTGTATGGGAAATCTAGAATGACAAGAAACGTATCAGTAATAACTCAAGATGCTAACAATTGCCATAACGGCATTGAGTACAGCTATCATCATATTACCGCAGCAGTTGGAATAATCTGATCTCTGATGATATAAGCTCTGTTGCGCTTCTAGAATGGCAAAGGGTTGACCAATTATCGCTCGACTCATTAACAATTGACGAAGGGGTACTGAGTGCGTCCATGGTCACTGTACCTTACCCGCTGGAATAGTTTGATCACTGACGATGCAAATTGGAAGAGAAGTCTAGAATAATCAATGTTTTGTACGGTTATGGCTGGAGATATTTGCAGTTGTATGTACAGCTCCCAGTATATCCATCGACAGAGCACTATAGCCGTTGCAGTGATCTTTTCAATGATGATCTACATTCTATATAAATTCCAGAGTGACAAGGAGCGGAACTATTACCTTTCAAGGTAATATGAGCTGACAGTACAGTGCTAAATACAGCCATCACCGCAGTACTGAAGAAGAGAGATTAACCTGCTACCTGAAGGCATAAATTCCTCAGTAGTTCCAGGATAATCAATGTATACGTCCGTTACGGGTCGTGTCATTTACAATTCCTAAGTCGGTAGTCAGTACAATCAGCAATAGAGCACTGTAGTCTTTGAAATGGCCTATTCAACTATGATATACGTTCTTTTGCAATACTAGAATGACAATGGACTGACCCATTGCGGTTAGAGTCATTAACAATTGACGAAACATTAGTGAGTACAGGCAGCATCAATAGACAGTAGACGTTGGACTAAATTGCCCACTGGTGACGTAAGTTCCTAAGAAAGACCGTAGTAATCAATGAATTGTACGGCTGTAACAGGAGGTGTCTACAATTCCCAGTACGGTAGTCGGTATACCCATCAACAGGGCGCTGTAGTCGATAGATTAACCTGTTGATTGATGACACATGTTCTGTAGCCATCCTAGAGGGACAAAAGGCAGATCCGTTAAATCTTGAGACATTAACAATTGACATGACGGTACCGAGTACAGCTGCAGGCACAGTGCTGCAACAGTTGGATTAATCTGTTGACTGACCATTTAAATTCCACAGTAGTTCCAGAACAATCTATGTATACGTTGGATAAATTTGTTCACAGATGACTTAACGTACAAAGCAAATCTAGGGTAGTCAAGGTATAGGACGGATGCGGCTGGAGATATTCCCAATTAACTGTACGATTCCTAGTGCATCCATCAACAGAGCACTGTTGCCGTGGTTTGATCACTTCAATGCTAACATACACACTATATCAATTCTACTGCCATAAATGACGGACTCATTATCGCTCGAGATATTAGCAATTGACGAAGCAGTACTGTGTACAGGTATCATGACAATACTGCAGCCTCTGGACTAATTTGCCTGCTGATGATGTAAATTACAAAGCAAGTCTAAGGTAATCAATGTATAGTAGGGTCATGGCTAGAGCTATATACAATATCTGTACGGTTCTTACTCCATGCATCAACAGGGAACTGTTGCCGTTGGACTGTTCTGCTCAATCATGACTTAGATTCTAGTGAAACTCTAGAATGACAAAGGAGAGATCCATTACCTTCCGAGCTATTCACAACTGAAAACAGAGTACTAAGTACAACCATGATGACAGCACTATAGCCCTTGTACTAATCTGTTCAGGGCCGTTTTAAATTCCACTGCAGATCTGGAATAATCATTTTATATATCTGATCTTCCTAGAGATGTTAACAGTTAACAGCACGGTAGCCGGTAAACCCGCGAAGAGTGTACTGCAGCAGTTGGATTAACCTGTTCAACGACGACATAGATTCTATGACAATTCAGGAACTACAAAGGACAGATACGTTTCAGCTCGAGACACATACAACTGCGGGAGCAGAACTGAGTAGAGACATCATAGCAGTACCTAATCCGTTGGACTAATCCCTTGACTGATAACTTAATTTTATCAGCAAATCTAGAATAATCTATGTACAGTACGGTTATTGCTTCAGATATTTACAATTGACAGTACGGTACATAGTACATCCATCAACAGAGCACTGTTACCGCCGAAAAAACCTGTTCAATGAAGATGTATATTCTATTGCAAATCTGGAATGAGAAAATACTGCTCCTTTGCAGCTCCAGATATTAACAATCGCCACGACGGCACTGATTACAGCAATCAACAAAGTTCTGCAGCCGTTGGATTAATCGATTCTGTGTGATGTGGGTGCTATTACAATTCTAGAATGGCAAAGTACTGACACATTATTGCTCGAGACATTTAGAATTGACGAAGGAGCACTGAGTAGAGTTATGCCCACAGTGCAATAACCGTTGGGGTAATTTGTTCACTAATACTCTTATTGTAACTGCATTTCTGGAATAATCTATGTATAGCGCGTTCACTGCTGCAGATATTTACAATTGACAGTACGGCACTTAGTACATTCATCGACAGAGCACTGCAGCCGTTGAGAAAAGCTGGCCATCGGTGACGTAAGTTCTATTGCTGCTGTAGAATGGATAAAGACAGATCCGTTGCAGCTCGAGACGTTAACAATTGCCATGACGTCCCTGAGTTCAGGCATCATCACAATACTGCAGCCT